GAAAATCGGCACAAAGCATCAAAGACTGCCTTACTGCGAAAGCTACAGGAAGTATTTCACTAAGGCAGATGCCCTTCACTCGAACCAGGATCAATGCAGGCTCAGAGCGTTGTTGGCCAACTTCCGTTCTATTTACGTTTGCTGTCCCGTTGAGGCTAATTCTCGGACAATTGGCAGATTCTGCCCCATAATAATAATAATAGTCACAGTTCGCATGTCACTTGTGGAAGGATCCATGGGCTTAACGCATCTGTCAATGAAGTCCAGGCAGAAGAGCCAACAAAAGGCATCTCATTATTGTTAGAACGTATCGCAGTAAGAACAACTACGCAAGCGCAGCACATTATCCCACAAGCATCAGCCATTTTTTCTTGTCTAGAGCCAGTTCAAAACAGTCAGAAATATCAATATTGGCGTGCTTTTATCATTTTTAATATCGTCAATCCATCTTTTAAGTCCAAACCATCTTCTGCTCCAACATCATGGCAATTGCTACATACAAAACATGAATGCGGTATAACAGGAAAAGTGCACAATATTCTGCGAGAATTACCCGCCATTACAAATCACTTCTGGTCGTTGTCTGCTTATTCGCCTTCTTGTTTAATTGGGATTGTACCTGATTCGTCTTTCTTTCTCAGTGCAAAGTCCTGCACTGTAAGTTGTAAGTTTGTTTCCTATGCCATGTCGCTCTCTCTCTCTCTCTCTCTCTCTCTCTCTCTCTCTCTCTCTCTCTCTCTCTCTCTCTCTCTCTCTCTCTCTCTCTCTCTCTCTCTCTCTCTCTCTCTCTCTCTCTCTCTCTCTCTCTCTCTCTCTCTCTCTCTCTCTCTCTCTCTCTCTCTCTCTCTATCTATCTATCTCTCTATGTCTCTGTCTCTTTCCAAACTTTCACTCACCAGTGTCGCTGTATGGCATTGTTACCGCGTTTGATGGTTTTTACCTAATCAGGCGGAGCATATACATGTATGTCACATAATTATGATTATATCTACTGGGTCCTTTGAAAAAGCATATACATATACATAGGCATATACCGATGTGACATGTACACGTACATGATTGTATAATATTATATTATTGATGTTTTAGGGGTATCTGCTAAACAAATGGATTAACCTGCTTCAGCCGGTTGGGTGAACCATACGTATTTACCTTTGGCGGTTGACTGTAACCTCTTGCTCCTGAAACAACTTTTAAAACTGCCGGCTATCTGGTGCTGTCACGAAGTTTATCTTGCGAAAGGTGCTCAACTTGTACAGTAAAGACAAGTAGCGGATAAACATTCGTACCACGTTTCAGGACGCATGGGATCTGCAACGAAGCCAAACACTTTGCCACTGTGCAAGCCCACTAGCTCTTTAATGAATCCATCCTTTCGCAGAGCGCTGCTTTGTAAGACTTTGTGTCACTGGCTCTTCATTTTAGCCTGGGTTATTAGCTGCTCGTGTACTTTAGGCTCCATTATCCACCTCTTGACTTGAAAAGATCTTTCGGCTATGCAGCTTGCATGACGAAGCACGAACGGCAGGGACCAGTAAGTTCAGTGCCAAATTATGTCCTGGTGCACTTGGCTGCTGCCTTCCCTCACGACCACATTCCCAAGAGTGCATACATGTCCCCCATCGCTCATCAGTTCCCTGTTGTCGGACACAACACACTCAGGCATCATGTCTGGCAAACGTCACTGTGCCCCATAATCTGACTGAGGGGTTCAGACACCCACGCAACTAGGCGTGGGTGAAGTCCTCAATCAAGGCCGTTGTTGTATTAATGCACTCCTGTAATACTCCTAACGAAGTACATCGACATAAAGTGGCTAGCTGGTTGTAAAAGTGTTGTTGTTGTTGTTACAGCAGGCACAGTACTACTAGTACCGGTATCTCGAGCAGGTGCTTGGTGAACCGTTGACTGAGCAGAACTGTAACGCTTGCATGCCATGATGGGAAGGGTTCAATCATGGGCATTTGCTCAGCAACAGCTAGATGTAGATGCAGCACCGTGCTGCGTAGAAATCAAGGGGGCGATATCCAAGTCGCCTCCCACCTCCGCATTCTGGTGATGGTTCCAGGGAGTGGGTGGCAAACTGGAGGTTTCTGTGAACTCGTAATCGGCGTATGAGACAAGCCGATCATGTTTGAAAACACAACAACACTTACACTATGTGTTAGTTACAGCGTGAGCGTGGTGTGATACGATAGTGCTATGCCAACAATAATACCGTGAGGTGTGGGAGGAGAGAAGAGCTGAGTAGGATAAGCACACGTTATAGCATTAGTGCCATTAGAGAGGTTAAGATGCACGTTATTTCTGACGTGACGCGAAAGTTCAGCTCGCGTTATCGATTTGGCTCGCACGTCGAAAAATCAACGCGAGTGACTTGCTGCTCACGTCGAAATTTGGAGTTTTACGCCAAATTTGACGTGGAATTGCGCGTCACGTCGGAAATAATGTGCATCTTAACCTCTCTATTACCAGTCATACCCAATCTCTGAATAGCTAAAAGTAAAGATTTTCCATGTAAGGTCTCGTCAGCGGAGCTCAGGGTGGCTGACGAAACCAATCGCATTGAAGCAATGAACGACAAAGTATTTTTAAACCCGGATGAAAAACGTCAACGTTAGAGGGCTCGAATTGCGATAAACACAGCATGCGACCTTAACGAGTTCAGTCGGTAATGGCCCGGTATTGTATCACCAATGCAGGCACGATTGGGCTCATTTTTGCTCCTGATTTAGTTCTAAATTATTCAGTCGCCGATCCGACAGCATACACAAACCAAGAAGAAACTACTGCAGTGACCTCATGTCTACGATCGCTGTATGCACTGCCTGTTCGATTTTACTGAGATTATAGGGAGGTGGGTACATGGATGTGGCAAATGGGATTTAGGCCTTTGGCCTCTGGTTGGTGGATCTGATCTATCCTCCCCCATCGTTTAGGAGCCGCATCTGACGCCTGATCATGGGGTGGTGGCGTCCCACGGAAGCGGAATGGTGGTTCTTGACCAGGGAGTTGTACGACTCCTTGTTCTTGACCTGCCCGGTACGCGAATCTGTAGAATTTTGTTTTGAATAGGGAGGTGGGTGATGAAAAGGAAAGCATGACTCGATCATTCGCTTCGACAATTTTTTAAAGAGTGCAGGTTTACATGTATAATACTTGGAAGTACTTGTAATGAGCACTGGACACATTCTTCCAGCATAGTAGTAGTACGAGTCGTACCAGTACTAGTAGACAGACTCTCACACTCTCACCGTCTCCATAGCGGAGTTCATTCACACATACATTGTAGTTATCCATCAGGTACTACTACTACTAGTACCTCTTCTAGCTCTGGATGTGTTTTCTTTCATAGCCCCCACAACCCCACAGGTGTCAGTGGGTCTTCACAGTAGGGAATGGTTCTTTCTTTTAAAGCAGTTACCCATGAACCATACATTTCCTTATCTATGCATTGTATGTATTTTTGGCCACCACCCACGGTGTCATCAATGGTTTTGAAATATTTCTAAACGGTGCTTTTCATCAACAAATTAGTTCTCTTGTGGCCATTAATTCTCACTGAATGAGCCTCGCATGGCTGGTGAATCCGACATATCCGAATTGGAAGCACACCACTTCAATCTTCCTCTCTACCGTTACACTGAGCTATTCTTGTAGTCTCTAAAAGTCTCTATTCTCACTCTTTGGTCCGTGTCTGGTGAAGGGATTTCCCGGGGCTTGCAAGAAGGAAGACCCACCACTATAGAATATTGTAACTATTTTTCGGGTACACGTTTGTGAATAGACAGGGCTTTAGCCGCTCTATGACTGTGTGAGCTTCAAAACCCAATATCCAGAAGCCATTTTTCTGATAAACTCTCAAGAATCAATCCACTTCACGAAATGAGAGCTACACTACATGTACATTTCCATCATGCAATGATAACTACGAACAATCATGAATGGTGAAAGAGTTGGTGGACAAGCCGTTGATTATTCACTCTCATTGTAATATCAAAAAGTATTCTTTCTAGACCAAAGAGTGGTATATTTGATAACATTTAATAACGATAGAAATTTTTACGATACTTCTCCAGACGTTTCGTTGTTCTGAACAACATCGTCAGTGGATAAAGAATGGAGGGCTTTGGGTGGTGGCACGGGTTAATAGGGAGTGATGGTGGTGAGATGAGTAGAGGTGAGAAGGTGAAGGTGGGAAATACATGTATCTAAGTTAATGGTGAAGGTTAGGTGCGGGTCGATACAGGTGGGAAGGGGTACACCCTTCGGGTAGAAGTGTAGGTTGGTAGAAGGTGTTGGTGTGCGTAGAAGGTGGAGTGGCGTAATGGAAGTGTCGGGTTGATAAATGTGGGAGAGAGTCTAGGTAGGGTGTGGATCAGCAATAGGTGTTGGTGTATGTGGTGGGTAGAATTGGCAAGAGAGGTGTGTGTGTGTGTGTGTGTGTGTGTGTGTGTGTGTGTGTGTGTGTGCGTGCGAAAAAGAGAGTAAGGTAGTGAGTATTGGTATGCGTGGAAGGAAGATGTGACAGAAGGTGTGCGCTATAGGCAAGGGGTGCAGGAATATTCTGAGGTGGTGGGTGGGACTAAAACAGGAGGTTGTGATTCATCTAGTGATATATATAATATCAGCAATAGCAGCAGTATATACATAGAGGTGTGTGTGTGTGTATGCGTGTGCGTTTGCAAGCTTTTTGGTAGTGTAGTGTGTTGGGGGGGGGGGGGGAGTACCCCTTCCCACCTGTATCGACCCGCACCTAACCTTCACCATTAACTTAGATACATGTATTTCCCACCTTCACCTTCTCACCTCTACTCATCTCACCACCATCACTCCCTATTAACCCGTGCCACCACCCAAAGCCCTCCATTCTTTATCCACTGACGATGTTGTTCAGAACAACGAAACGTCTGGAGAAGTATCGTAAAAATTTCTATCGTTATTAAATGTTATCAAATATACCACTCTTTGGTCTAGAAAGAATACTTTTTGATATTACAATGAGAGTGAATAATCAACGGCTTGTCCACCAACTCTTTGACTTTGGACTGGACCGATCAACTCGCGGACAAGCAACAGAATGGATGGCAAATGTGGAGAGACTCAAGCATCGGGAGCAGAATGTGATCTTTCTTCGGCGCTGCAGAAACGCTGGTATATGTCCACCCGCGTTACACAACCCAATCCGCTTCCCAACAGCCATCAAGAACCTGGCTTATACACAACGATATCAACGCGAAACCGAAAAACGAATACTCGGACAACTCATACGCGCGGAATACCATGCCATCCACGCCTCGAAATCAAAGGCCAACAAGCTGCAGGCATCCATGCACCGGAGAAGCGACCAATACCAGCGACTAAATGATCTGGTCAACGCAGCAGCCCATGCCAGCAAGACAAAATGGAAATCATCCTTGAAGCAGAAATTCAAGAGACTAACAGAATCCCGAGAACAACCAGACGGTACACTACTACTGGGACCCGGCTGCGTGCCGAACAGCCCTCAGACCTCGATGCCAGACAACGTCACTGAGAGACACAGGAACCTAACACAGAGAGTCAGTATACTGGGAGATATCAGTGTATCCGAACAGGCAGTGTCGCTTCTAGCAAAAGGCCCAAAATTCGCCATCACACCGAAATTCACCAAGAAAGGACTGCAACAGAAGTTACAGACGGAGATCGCTGTACTCGCATACGGCATTCGATGGAAAGCCGCTGGGGAGAGAACCGGAACCGGTATTGGTGGAACCTTCGACCCTATCAAATCAGAATGTCCGTTCAAGATCAGGAGAAAAGCACCGCCACGGGACATAGACCCAGCCGAGCGATCCATCAAAGGTTTCATCACGGACATGGAGCGCATTATGAGAACGGCGGGGAAATGGCAGAATCCTAAACCCAACATCTCCCACGCAGACCGGCATGCGCTTAAAGAACTACGAGAACGTGAGGACATCGTGGTCACTCGAAGTGATAAAGGAGGCGAGATGGTGATCATGAAGGCGGAGGACATGCAGGAACTGTGCAGGGAGCACCTCGCCGACTCAACAACATATTGCAAGCTTCAAAAAGATCCAACACCGACACTGCGCCTCACCATCAACAAAGCTCTAGAGAAAATTCTCAGAAGCAGAGATTTCCCCAAGATCATCATCAGACGACTCAATACGCCACCCTGCGCAAGAACGCAACGGTTCTACGCACTGCCGAAAACACACAAGAAATCTCTCAAGATTCGCCCAATCGTCTCGGGATCAGGCGGCATTTTCGAAAGACTCGGTTGGATCCTCCATTTCATCTTCAAGCCATTGCTGCTTAACGTGAGCGCCCACATCAGCAGCACGCGGGACCTAATAGCCCAATTTACGAGCAACGAAAACAAACTGAAGAAGAAAATCCCCATCTCATTCGACGTGATCTCGCTGTACACAAACATTGGCATTGAAGAAGGAATCAGCACCGTCCTCGAATACGCGAACCGCTTCAAAATCAATACCTACTCCCTCACACCGGTCGACCTAAAAGAGCTACTCGGGCTGATTCTATATAACAACGTGTTCCAACACCCAACCCTTGGAACATTCAAACAGACAAGGGGATTGGCGATGGGCAGCAGACTCAGCGGCACAATAGCTATCATCGTCATGGACCGCTTTGAACAGCGCCACATTTACAGAAACATCTCGCCGCCATTGCCAGTGTTCGTTCGCTATGTAGACGACTCGGGAACCGCAGTTGACACTCCTGCGGAAGCACAATCTCTACTGACCAAACTCAACGGAAAACACCCGACAATCAAGTTTGAACTGGAGTTGCCGGACAAAGATGGTTTCCTACCAATCCTGGATATCAGACTAAAGATTCTTCCTGACGGCAAAATCACACACAAGCTCTACGTAAAAGAAGCAAACAAAGGGATAACACTGCACGCAGATTCCCACCATCCAACGGCGGTTAAGATGGCGGTCATTAACAATGAATACAAACGAGCACAAGACAACAGCACGCCTGAGTTTGCGGAGGAAGCCAGACGCCTCATCTCAGATAAACTTGCAGGGAACGGCTATTCTGCAGAACACATCATCAAAGCGCGCGCCCGAAGAAGAAACACAAGTAAACAAACAAAAGGGAAACAACTGGTATTTAGAATACCGTACATCTCCGACAAGGTTAACGGCCAAGTACGACAGGCACTTAAGAAAAACGGCATAACGGCACGCCTCGTTAACCCTCGACCCCCAACCATCCAAGAACTCACGAAGAAAAAAGGAGAACCGGAAAAATGCAGAATGCGCGAATGCCCTATGTTCAGGAAGAAATGCACCTGCAGATTTGCCGTGTACGAAGCTACATGCCACCTTTGTCACGAGAGATACGTCGGCTCTACTGGGAGGCAAGTGCACACCCGGGCCCAAGAGCACACAAATGCTGCAAAATCTCATGACAAGAAGTCTGCATTCGGTGTGCACTACGCTAGGGAACACCCGAACGCCACCCCAGAGATTATGTACGAGATTGCTCAGCTCACGGAGAGGGATGAGCTGAGGCTCCGGATCCGTGAGGCATATGCCATTCGCGACAAGAAACCAACTATCAACAGAAGAAAAGAAGATATGGGAACTGGATTCTTGGCATAACTTGCCTACCACCATCCACTATCTGCCAACCCATCCAAAAATGATCGCAATAGAAGAAGAACACCCGCACCCGGTGCTCTCTCTCCCCCCCCCCCCCCAACACACTACACTACCAAAAAGCTTGCAAACGCACACGCATACACACACACACACCTCTATGTATATACTGCTGCTATTGCTGATATTATATATATCACTAGATGAATCACAACCTCCTGTTTTAGTCCCACCCACCACCTCAGAATATTCCTGCACCCCTTGCCTATAGCGCACACCTTCTGTCACATCTTCCTTCCACGCATACCAATACTCACTACCTTACTCTCTTTTTCGCACGCACACACACACACACACACACACACACACACACACACACACACACACACACCTCTCTTGCCAATTCTACCCACCACATACACCAACACCTATTGCTGATCCACACCCTACCTAGACTCTCTCCCACATTTATCAACCCGACACTTCCATTACGCCACTCCACCTTCTACGCACACCAACACCTTCTACCAACCTACACTTCTACCCGAAGGGTGTACCCCTTCCCACCTGTATCGACCCGCACCTAACCTTCACCATTAACTTAGATACATGTATTTCCCACCTTCACCTTCTCACCTCTACTCATCTCACCACCATCACTCCCTATTAACCCGTGCCACCACCCAAAGCCCTCCATTCTTTATCCACTGACGATGTTGTTCAGAACAACGAAACGTCTGGAGAAGTATCGTAAAAATTTCTATCGTTATTAAATGTTATCAAATATACCACTCTTTGGTCTAGAAAGAATACTTTTTGATACATGAATGGTGAGTGGCTACAATCTACTCGTACGTTATAAATCGCAGTCCATACACACACGCAAGTACACGGACTTCGTTGTTGTGTGGCGATGACGGCAGAATATGTGTCTCTTTATTGCTATTCCAAAATTGTTGTCCCCTTCTGTTTCTGGTTATCCTAAACGTTTTCAGCCTTCATGAAAGGTTCGCTGTGCTTATCGCAGTTAGAACACTCTTGCTTTCATGCAGCCTGAACCGGTTTAAAATGCTTTGTTGTTCATTAGACTTCGTCGCGATCGGTTCTACCAGTGACTCTGAGCTCCACGGACGAGACCCGTAACAACTTTATAGTAACACGGTCGACGCATTCGGAGATGATTGAGAAAGATGGAATATACAGAACACCTTAATTTGTATGAGTACATGAGCTTCATGTACATGTAGGAGGCTCATCCCATGTACTGCAAACGAAGCTGCGTAGGAGCTGCTGTTTTATCCGTAACTTAGTTTTTTATTATAATTATTATTATGGTAAAGGCGGCTTCCTGGCGGCACTCGTACTCCACTGGAAGAGAGTTCCACCTATTGGAGGTCGGGCGGGGCAAAACGTAGAAACCGTGCGGAAAGAGGCATAAGTTAGGGCTCAGTAAAGCGATGGTGGACTTTCCCCTTGTCCATGATTCCCTATGTTTGCCATTTTGATCTGAGAAGAAAGATACAGATATCTTACTCAGCATCCCGATCTAGTTGGCATTGCCACGTGTCTTTTCTCCTGTGGAGAGTGCCAGTAAATTGTACATGTATACACTGTATATGTGATTGGGTAATGTTGCGACGCTTGCCACTTGTGTTCATGTACATTGTGCGAGCGAATGATATCCAGTCGACTAGTCATTGTACACGATACCATAATAGTGAACAAGTGAAAAAGCAGCCTTTGAGATAAGGGAAATACATGTATATTATAACTATTAAGTGTAGGAAAACTGGTATAGATGTCACCAAAGTTGTTGTATGAAGGTGTTAGGTAATACTTGCGCACAAAGCAGAGTGACCTTCAATGGAACTACTATTACTAAGTACTTGAACTTCTGACGGCCATCGCCGATCTTGCAATTGTCGTCACATCTTCGTCAGCAGTAACATAGTGTGTGCTATGATAAGTGCCATGCATGAATGAGCGCTTGTGGACCTGTGGTGTCTAAGCGACTATGCAGGTGTTACGGAAAAAGTTATAAGCGCGTCGAAGATCCGTCCCTCCTGTAATGATCATATCGGAGACCGCCAACATGCAGTATGTCCTTGCAGCCCGATCAAGCTAAGGCCAGTATTAAGGGTGTTCCCTGTGAACAGTTTGATGATGACCTGCCTCGCTGATGCATTCACTCAGCTCAGCCATGCAGACTCGAGCTGCCCAAGTAACAATTAGTTTGTTCTCTGGGAACTCTCCCGATTCATTCATTCGCTCATTCATCCCAATCACCTTCAGAACAGCAGCGTTTCTCACTGAACACTGAAACCGCCAACAGCCACAGCCACAGGTGCACCATGTCTTGACCCCGTGTAGCCATTTTGCTGTACATGCACAAATGTACTTAAAAAAGAGAATAAAGTACAATGTACAATGTACATGTAGATCTACATAATGTACTGGAATTGAAATGTTTAATTTACAATGCATTTATGGTGAAAAAGGAGGACAACATGTTACGAGTTATGACTATTGTCCACCAGCGTAACCAGATCTTATACAGTCAGCGAGTGCAACAAAATGGCACAAAACTGACAAAGGAGTACTGAGACTTTCGGCGACCTGACACCTACACTGTAGCTCCAACACTTCTCCAAGGCGCAAACCAACAACATTCCAACTTGGAAGGCTCAGGTTCGGAAAGGTCGATGCGTAGCTCGTGCTCTTCTTTATTGCGCTTTCCTCCCCCTCTTGGACCTTTCCGAGAGGGAGTGTCATACTGAACATTCCATAATTATAATTCCAATCCCCCATTGTCAACATGTTTCTACGATTTGGTCATTGTGACAGGATTCATTTTAGGGTTCTCTTTGATCATGACCGCCATAATCGGATCATCTCTGGTCATGACTACACGTACATGTACATGTACATAGGTCATTGTAGATGAAAATTTTCAAATGGGCATGTCTTTCGCACGTCTACAATTCAACAGCTTCTGTGGTACTTCCGACATGCGATTGCGAATCATCGCTTTCTTTATAGCACAGTGGGCCACATTCTAACCTAGCAGAGTTCACGTACACGTACATGTACATGTACATGTACATGTACATGTACATGTACATATTTATATTTATATTTATTACAACATCTCAAGACTCGGTGGAAACACCGGCCAATGTGAAGAGAGTGGGTGATTGCCAACCACGGCGATAAATAAGAGTAAGGGGAGGGAAAAAAGAAAGAGTAGCAAAACGAACAGCAACAACAAGTCCGTAAAGAAATACATGTACATGATTGTACAGTACATATACATGTACATGTTAGGCTAGTACATGTACCTGCACTGTAAGTCACTATACGTGCACGTGTACACTGTAGTTAGTAGTTACTGTTACTGTTTTGACATCCATGTGTACATGTAGATCTACATGATTGTGCAGCATTGTTTTTGAGTTTGCCCGTACAAGAAGCTTTTACACTTTACAGTATAATACATGTACATTGTAGTTACTGTAAATACAATTCATGTACATGTGTATGATTGTACAGGTACGTTAGAGTTTTATGTAGACTACTGTATGTATCTATTGTTGCACGATTAAAGAGGTCAATATATTTCATATACATGTATTGACCGATTATGAGGGCAATAATAGATTTATCACGACATTATTATTATTATTATTATTACTTGCATGTACGCGTTGGAGTCAACCATGCAAGCATGATCCACAACTTCGCTTATGCTGAGCATGATAAACAGGACTATGACAGGGGAAAAAATGAGCTAGAACGATGATAATAATAATTATGATACTTATATCATATATATTATATACAATGTAGCTCATGGGTATTGAAGATATGTCATTTATGAATATGTCCATAATATGAATATTGCAGCCTGAGTGATAATGATAGTGCTATTTCCTGAGTTTGACTGTTTCAGGATCTGTCGGAATATCACGACATAGCATACCTAAAACTGTTTTGCTTTGCTATAGGAAGAAAGGAATACTATTGTAATAGTATAATAGTATGTACATATGCCGTTTACATTGGACATTACTTCTGTGTAAACCGAAGTTTTCAGTTGTCTCTTGTAGTATGTTCCCAAAGTTCTTTGACTGAGAATCTGACAGTTTGGGTTCAAATCCCAGCATTTGGCTTCAGATTTTTCTTCTTTCAGTTCTGATATTTTTTCCAAGTAAGTTGAGGAAAAAGTTCTAAGTCCTCGGGCTATTAAAGTGGTCAATATAAGTGGTCAATATAAGCGGTCAATATATGCTGATATTTGACCGCTTAGAGATCACAAGTTTCTGTGGGGGTCAATAATAAGAGAGTGATAAACAGTAGTAGTACAAGGAGGATTCCTTGGGCCATGGCGCCAGTGCAGAGGGCTCCACGCATACTAGTAATCAGATGCTGTGGAGCACTACCGGTATTACACTTGCGTGATGGTCGCATTGAGCAAGAAACATGCAAACTCTGAAACCTCCTTTTCTGCTTTTTGTGCAGACTAGTTGTACTGTACGCAGACTTTCTTGCGACACAGCCAGGTACATGTACTAGGTACAGCGATGCATGTGCATGACCGTACTAGCCTGAGAGCGAGAAAAATGAAGCAGATTTGAGAGTGCCTGCGGGCCTCACCCAGGGTTATTGTGACTGTGTGTGGTTGACAAACCAGGGCTGGATTTCTGTCACGGCTCATCCAATTATCTCCGGCTTCAAGAACAAGGACGCCTCCGGGATCAGATAGAACAGGAATCCCGCTGTGGTGCTCAGCAATCACGAGCAGGTTATCCGAGTCCAGTGCATTGCTCTCACCTGAGCACCAGGTTCGAAGCCAAAGGTCATCTGGCGTTGCGCTAGGCGCCGCGCCGTCGCGAATTCCAGGTTATCCAGGCGGAGGACGCACTGTGTTGAAATTTTAAACTTGAAATAATTGGTTGGCAGAGCCCTGGTCTTACGACAATACTCAATAGACCTGAACCGTATGC